CAGGACACCCAGAGAGCTGGGGGACCTAGGGGCCACACAGGACACCCAGAGAGCTGGGGGACCTAGGGGCCACACTGGACACCCAGAGAGCTGGGGGACCTAGGGGCCACACTGGACACCCAGAGAGCTGGGGGACCTAGGGGCCACACTGGACACCCAGAGAGCTGGGGGACCTAGGGGCCACACTGGACACCCAGAGAGCTGGGGGACCTAGGGGCCACACTGGACACCCAGAGAGCTGGGGGACCTAGGGGCCACACAGGACACCCAGAGAGCTGGGGGACCTAGGGGCCACACTGGACACCCAGAGAGCTGGGGGACCTAGGGGCCACACTGGACACCCAGAGAGCTGGGGGACCTAGGGGCCACACTGGACACCCAGAGAGCTGGGGGAGCTAGGGGCCACACTGGACACCCAGACTGTGCAGAGGAAGATGTGGAGTCTCTGAAAACACCGGAAACACAGCGCGCCCGAATAAACTGTCCGACCGGAAACAGCGAGCGGAATAAACTGTCCGACGAAAACAGCGCCCTGAATAAACTGTCCGACCGGAAACAGCGCGCTGAATAAACTGTCCGACCGGAAACAGCGCGCGGAATAAACTGTCCGACCGGAAACAGCGCGCGGAATAAACTGTCCGACCGGAAACAGCGCCGTGAATAAACTGTCCGACCGGAAACAGCGAGCGGAATAAACTGTCCGGAAACAGCGCCCGGAATAAACTGTCCCACCGGAAACAGCGCGCGGAATAAACTGTCCCACCGGAAACAGCGCGCGGAATAAACTGTCCCACCGGAAACAGCGACCGGAATAAACTGTCCGACCGGAAACAGCGCGCGGAATAAACTGTCCCACCGGAAACAGCGCCCGGAATAAACTGTCCCACCGGAAACAGCGCCCGGAATAAACTGTCCCACCGGAAACAGCGCCCGGAATAAACTGTCCCACCGGAAACAGCGCCCGGAATAAACTGTCCCACCGGAAACAGCGCCCGGAATAAACTGTCCCACCGGAAACAGCGCCCGGAATAAACTGTCCCACCGGAAACAGCGCCCGGAATAAACTGTCCCACCGGAAACAGCGCGCGGAATAAACTGTCCGACCGGAAATAGCGCCCGGAATAAACTGTCCGACCGGAAACAGCGCGCGGAATAAACTGTCCCACCGGAAACAGCGCGCGGAATAAACTGTCCCACCGGAAACAGCGCCCGGACTAAACTGTCCCACCGGAAACAGCGCCCGGAATAAACTGTCCCACCGGAAACAGCGCCCGGAATAAACTGTCCCACCGGAAACAGCGCCGGAATAAACTGTCCGACAGGAAACAGCGCGCGGAATAAACTGTCCGACCGGAAACAGCGTGCGGAATAAACTGTCCCACCGGAAACAGCGCCCAGAATAAACTGTCCCACCGGAAACAGCGCGCGGAATAAACTGTCCCACCGGAAACAGCGCGCGGAATAAACTGTCCGACCGGAAACAGCGCCCGGAATAAACTGTCCGACCGGAAACAGCGCGCGGAATAAACTGTCCCACCGGAAACAGCGCCCTGAATAAACTGTCCCACCGGAAACAGCGCCCCGAATAAACTGTCAGACCGGAAACAGCGCCCCGAATAAACTGTCCAACCGGAAACAGCGCCCGGAATAAACTGTCCAACCGGAAACAGCGCCCGGAATAAACTGTCCGACCGGAAACAGCGCGCAGAATAAACTGTCCGACCGGAAACAGCGCCCGGAATAAACTGTCCGACCGGAAACAGCGCGCGGAATAAACTGTCCGACCGGAAACAGCGCCCTGAATAAACTGTCCCACCGGAAACAGCGCCCCGAATAAACTGTCAGACCGGAAACAGCGCCCCGAATAAACTGTCCCACCGGAAACAGCGCCCTGAATAAACTGTCCCACCGGAAACAGCGCCCGGAATAAACTGTCCCACCGGAAACAGCGCCCGGAATAAACTGTCCCACCGGAAACAGCGCCCGGAATAAACTGTCCCACCGGAAACAGCGCCCGGAATAAACTGTCCGACCGGAAACAGCGCCCGGAATAAACTCAAGAACCGACAGAAACAGCGCTGAATATACTGTCCCACCGAAACAGCGCCGCTACGGAATAAACTGGTCCCACCGAAACAGCTCGAATAAAACTGTCCCACCGAAATACGCTGAATAAACTGTCCCACCGAAACAGCTACCGAATAAACTGGGTCCCACCGAAACAGCTCTGAATAACCGTCCCACCGAAACAACAGCCCGAATAAACTGGTCCCAATCGGTACTCTGAATAAACCGTCCACCGGAAACAGCTACTGAATAAACTGGGTCCTAATCGGAACAGCGACCGGAATAAACTGTCCCACCGAAACAGCTACCTGAATAACCGTCCCACCGAAACAGCTACCGAATAAACTGTCCCAATCGAAACAGCTGAATAAATCCGTCCCACCGAAACAGCTGAATAAATTGTCCCACCGGAACAGTACCGAATAAACTGTCCCACCGGAAGGCCACGATTAAATCCGTCCGACCGGAAACAGCGCCCTGAATAAACTGTCCGACCGGAAACAGCGCCCGGAATAAAGTGTCCGACCGGAAACAGCGCGCGGAATAAACTGTCCCACCGGAAACAGCGCCGGAATAAACTGTCCCACCGGTAGATTCCTGGGGCACCTCTCTGTAGGCAAACAACAGATGAGGCAGGAATCGCTCCCAGTCTCTGCAAGTGTCAGAAAAGGTCCTCAGCATCTGTTTGAGGGTGCCATTAAATCGCTTGCAGAGACCGTTAGTCTGTGGATGGTAAGGTGAGCTAAGCAGCGGTTTAATACCGCACACCTTCCACAGTTGCTGGGTGAGCACAGCGGTGAATTGGGTTCCCTGGTCAGAGAGAATCTCTTGAGGGAACCCGACTCTGGTGAAAATCCTAACCAGGGCGTCAGCAACTGTCTCTGCCTCTATATTAGACAGCGCTACTGCCTCTGGATAGCGAGTGGCATAATCCACCACGGTGAGAATATATTTCTTACCGGATGGACTAGCCCTGGCCAGTGGACCCACAATGTCAACGGCTTTGCGGGCAAAGGGCTCCCCAATGATAGGCATAGACATAAGCCTAGCTCTTGGGTGGTCCCCCCGCTTCCCTATCCGTTGACATGTGTCACACGTACTGCAGTATGTCCGCACAGCCTGATTGAAGTTTGGCCAAAAAAAGTTCTGCATGATCCTATAGGCTGTGCGGCGGGAACCTAGATGTCCAGCTAACGGAACATCATGCCCTATCCGCAGAATCTCCTGCCGGTATTTCGCTGGCACCACCAGCTGTCGATTCGGCGGAGGGGCAACACTCTTCGGGGAAAGCTTGGGGATCCTATATAACCTGTCCCCCACCCACTCATACCGTTCCCCATCTAATCCTTCCTCTCCAGTATCTGCTCTGTCCCTATACTTCTGGAGGGTCGAATCTGTCTGAGTTGCCCTCCCAAACTCCTCTGGGGAATCCCAGTTAACAAAAGTCTGGTCTAGGGTACCAGTCGGGGACTCGGTCCTTACCTGGGTCTCAGCAGCAGGTGGGCTGGTTCCAGCAGCACGGGTCTGGGCACGGGTAGTCACTGGGTTGATAGCGGCAGGTCCCATTGGAGCATAAGCGGACACCAAAGGGGCCAAGTCATTCCCAAGTAAAACATCGGCCGGTAAGTCTTTCATGACCCCCACATAAACTGTCCCACCGGAAACAGCGCCCGGAATAAACTGTCCCACCGGAAACAGCGCCCGGAATAAACTGTCCAACCGGAAACAGCGCCCGGAATAAACTGTCCCACCGGAAACAGCGCCCGGAATAAACTGTCCCACCGGAAACAGCGCCCGGAATAAACTGTCCGACCGGAAACAGCGCGCCGGAATAAACTGTCCCACCGGAAACAGCGCCCGGAATAAACTGTCCCACCGGAAACAGCGCCCGGAATAAACTGTCCGACCGGAAACAGCGCCCGGAATAAACTGTCCCACCGGAAACAGCGCCCCGAATAAACTGTCCAACCGGAAACAGCGCCCGGAATAAACTGTCCAACCGGAAACAGCGCCCGGAATAAACTGTCCGACCGGAAACAGCGCCCGGAATAAACTGTCCGACCGGAAACAGCGCCCGGAATAAACTGTCCGACCGGAAACAGCGCCCCGAATAAACTGTCCGACCGGAAACAGCGCCCTGAATAAACTGTCCCACCGGAAACAGCGCCCGGAATAAACTGTCCCACCGGAAACAGCGCGCGGAATAAACGGTCCCACCGGAAACAGCGCCCGGAATAAACTGTCCCACCGGAAACAGCGCCGGAATAAACTGTCCGACAGGAAACAGCGCCCGAAATAAACTGTCCCACCGGAAACAGCGCCCGGAATAAACTGTCCGACCGGAAACAGCGCCCGGATTAACTGTCCGACCGGAAACAGTCCCCGGAATAAACTGTCCGACCGGAAACAGCGCGCGGAATAAACTGTCCGACCGGAAACAGCGCGCGGAATAAACTGTCCCACCGGAAACAGCGCCCGGAATAAACTGTCCCACCGGAAACAGCGCCCGGAATAAACTGTCCGACCGGAAACAGCGCCCGGAATAAACTGTCCCACCGGAAACAGCGCCCGGAATAAACTGTCCCACCGGAAACAGCGCCCGGAATAAACTGTCCCACCGGAAACAGCGCCCGGAATAAACTGTCCCACCGGAAACAGCGCGCCTAATAAACTGTCCGACCGGAAACAGCGCCCTGAATAAACTGTCCGACCGGAAACAGCGCCCGGAATAAAGTGTCCGACCGGAAACAGCGCGCGGAATAAACTGTCCCACCGGAAACAGCGCCGGAATAAACTGTCCCACCGGTAGATTCCTGGGGCACCTCTCTGTAGGCAAACAACAGATGAGGCAGGAATCGCTCCCAGTCTCTGCAAGTGTCAGAAAAGGTCCTCAGCATCTGTTTGAGGGTGCCATTAAATCGCTTGCAGAGACCGTTAGTCTGTGGATGGTAAGGTGAGCTAAGCAGCGGTTTAATACCGCACACCTTCCACAGTTGCTGGGTGAGCACAGCGGTGAATTGGGTTCCCTGGTCAGAGAGAATCTCTTGAGGGAACCCGACTCTGGTGAAAATCCTAACCAGGGCGTCAGCAACTGTCTCTGCCTCTATATTAGACAGCGCTACTGCCTCTGGATAGCGAGTGGCATAATCCACCACGGTGAGAATATATTTCTTACCGGATGGACTAGCCCTGGCCAGTGGACCCACAATGTCAACGGCTTTGCGGGCAAAGGGCTCCCCAATGATAGGCATAGACATAAGCCTAGCTCTTGGGTGGTCCCCCCGCTTCCCTATCCGTTGACATGTGTCACACGTACTGCAGTATGTCCGCACAGCCTGATTGAAGTTTGGCCAAAAAAAGTTCTGCATGATCCTATAGGCTGTGCGGCGGGAACCTAGATGTCCAGCTAACGGAACATCATGCCCTATCCGCAGAATCTCCTGCCGGTATTTCGCTGGCACCACCAGCTGTCGATTCGGCGGAGGGGCAACACTCTTCGGGGAAAGCTTGGGGATCCTATATAACCTGTCCCCCACCCACTCATACCGTTCCCCATCTAATCCTTCCTCTCCAGTATCTGCTCTGTCCCTATACTTCTGGAGGGTCGAATCTGTCTGAGTTGCCCTCCCAAACTCCTCTGGGGAATCCCAGTTAACAAAAGTCTGGTCTAGGGTACCAGTCGGGGACTCGGTCCTTACCTGGGTCTCAGCAGCAGGTGGGCTGGTTCCAGCAGCACGGGTCTGGGCACGGGTAGTCACTGGGTTGATAGCGGCAGGTCCCATTGGAGCATAGGCGGACACCAAAGGGGCCAAGTCATTCCCAAGTAAAACATCGGCCGGTAAGTCTTTCATGACCCCCACATAAACTGTCCCACCGGAAACAGCGCCCGGAATAAACTGTCCCACCGGAAACAGCGCCCGGAATAAACTGTCCCACCGGAAACAGCGCCCGGACTAAACTGTCCCACCGGAAACAGCGCCCGGAATAAACTGTCCCACCGGAAACAGCGCCCGGAATAAACTGTCCGACCGGAAACAGCGCGCGGAATAAACTGTCCCACCGGAAACAGCGCCCGGAATAAACTGTCCCACCGGAAACAGCGC